TTTTTTTTTTTTTTTTTTTGGGTGTGCTGTAAGTTTTAATGGTTTAGCGACTGAAGTAAAGGATTACCATTTCCTAAAACACAATCTTCTTTAGAATAATAAATAGTATTGTGAATGACAATAGTTTTTTTTTTAGCCAATATAGTTGAGCTAATGATTGGCTTCCAGATTCTTGCATTCTGGGGTTAATTCAGTCAGATGCTATCTGGATGCATATTTTCGAACCTCTGATGAATTATAATTACTTTCTAAGAGTCGAGAATTTGTCTATTTTTAGTATGAGTTACAGGACTTTTTCCAGTAAAATAGCTGGTGAAAACCTAATGATCGTGGCCACAATTTTATGCAGTAAAATTGTTTTTGCAGAAGATAACAAAAAATGAAAATCTGAAATTAATATACTATTTAATAATGAGTGCATTTCAAAACAGGATAATAAGTTAAAAGGTAACTAGGAGCAACAATTGAAGAGTATTAACTCAAATTCTTCTTGGACAAGGGAGTATTTCGTCTTTTAAGAATTAGAATAGAAGTTTAGTATACACTTGTTTCGAAGATAATTGACCTGTTCACTGGATAACTCGATGTACTTAGATTAAGTATAGGTTTTTTTGGATTTCCTTAACCTGAAACTTGTTTGTGAAACTTGTTTAACTCCTTGAAAATTTGGACCAAATCAAATTTATCCATTAAGGGTAGCTTCTTCTGGTATTTTTGTGCATTGAAAGTAACAATGCAAATTCACTTTTCGAAGTTAATTGATGCCAATTATATGCGTTCTTTTTGACTTTTTCTTGTTTATTCTTGAGGGGCATTGCTATTACAGTTTTTGCACGATAATGTTACTAGGTTTATTCCCATTTCAGAGAAGTTGGGTGTGAAGTGCTTAATTAAATAAACATGTCACCCGTTGACTGGGATTAGAATACGTAATATGCTTGTTTCTATTGTGCAAAATTACCATAAAGGTCAAATTGGTATAAAAGTCCATAGTAAGCATGGATAAGGACACACGTGTTGTTGTTTGGCATTTTGTTCGTCAATCCAGCTTAGTGTTTCTTAGTTCCTTTGCAATTTCTCCTTTTCTCCTTACGAATTGCGTCAGTGTGCGCTCCGGCATGTCGACAGCTTGAATGAAGAAAGGAAAGGGACACGACAGGTGTTGAATCTGACACTGACACTCCAGCCTTTCCAGCGTATGTGTGCTTCCTAGAGAAGATAAAAAAAAAAGCTTCTTAAGATTGCGGGATCATTTTTGTTTGCCACATGAACACAAAATTTAGTAACTTCAAGATTTTTTCTACAAAATCCTCATATCGAGTTAATCACAAGTCATATTTCTCACAATATCTGTTCACTTCGTGGAATTTATACCTAAATGGTTATTGGTTTGAGAGTTTTCATTACAAACTGCTTTCTGTCTAAAGTAATGCCTTTTTCTTAGGAATTTACACAAGGTATGGACATATCTATTCATTTTGGGGTATATATACCTAAATGGTTATAGGTTCGAGGGTTTTCATTGCAAATTTTTTCTTTCTGTCTAGGGTAATGCCTTTTCTTAGGAATGCAAGGTGTAAAGCTTGGTTATACAATCCTCATTGAAGGAAGAGCAAAACAATTGTTTCCAGATCCTCGTGGATGGAAGAGAAAATATTCATTCGGTGTCGTTGACCAAGCCACTGGGGGAACTTGCAGTTCTTGAAGTTATTACTGTTATTTAATGAATCTTTTTTTGTAAATTTCTTCCAATCTCGATATTCTATTCTTGCAAAATGGGTCTCACATTGTAATTATGTCATATCTGGCCTGAAGATTTTGTCCTAAGCAGCTGAACCATATGTTCCATGTGTAGATCTGTCAGGGTATTATTTTAAACTAACTCTATGTATTAACTCCATATTTACGGTGGGTTTGAACCTTAATATAGGTCCAGTTGTCTTAAGAAAATCAGAAAACAAACCCCACTTTAGAGTCCTTAAGCTCGCTTTTGCTGCTGATAACAGGTTTGTATCAAGGTTCAATATTTGTTATTGCAACTTAGGTTAGTTCCTGGTTAATTAATCTTCACTTGGGTGAATTATGTTAATTTGCATCTCATCTGAAATTATATAATGGCGTATTTAGCATTTGAAATTGAAATTTATTGCTCTTTTAAGTTCTTTTTTATGCTTTTATATATCATCTGATTTCCTTATTTATGTGATTTTCCAATTGTTAAGCAGTTTGTAAATTTTCTATGGTTTGTGCTACGGTAGTTGAGTTGGCCCTACTGTATTTTTATATATGATCATATGTGTTTTTATTGTTTGATAGCTCTTTCGAGTAATTTCTTGGTTATATTTTGTCACTCTCAGCCTTTGTTTTGAGTGCTTACGTGTTTGAGTTAATTACAAAAGTACCTCATCTCTTGCTACTATTTCAGCTTCACTGATGGCCAAGGAAAAAGGCAAGAAGCTCGGAAAGAAAGGGCGAAATATGAACCAACCAAATGGTAAAATTAAAAAGAAAAATAAGGTTCTCAAGGTTGAACCCAAAAATGCAGTTGTTCCTGCTCCTCTCATTGACCCTGCACAAGCAAGTACTTCTGCTCTGCCTAGTGAAGAAAATAGAGCTGCCTCGCAGAACAGAGACCCGGACAAGGAAACAAAGAATCACCTTTCTGGATTTATCTTCATGTGTAATCAATCTACCAAATCAGAATGTTACCAGTACCGTGTTTTCGGGCTTCCGGCGGGAAAGAAGGAAGTGGTAGAGTCCATAACGCCCGGCACTAAGCTCTTTCTGTTTGATTTTGTGTTGAAGCGTCTATATGGTGTGTATGAGGCAACCTCTGCTGGAACAATGAACTTGGAACCTGATGCATTTAGAGGAAAATTTCCTGCACAGGTAAATCATTATGATGTTTTCTTTCATCCTAAGCATTAACAGACGACCTTTTTAGCTATAAATTTTAAAGGAAGGGAAATTAAGAACATGAAAAGAGGAGAGAAATAATATAAATGACATCTGTGAATGAGATTGAATCTCTATGCTTCACTTACATGATTTTTATCTTTGGGGTGAGTTTATTTATATAGACGATGCTTGTATTCTTCAACTTTCACCGTGGTGTGTTTGAGTGACAAGCCATATTTTTCTATCCCCGTGTTTTAGACTGCTCATTTCTGTCTTTCAGGTAAAGTTCAAAATTTTCAAGGAGTGTCTTCCCTTGCATGAAAGTTCTTTTAGACGAGTTCTAAAGGAGAATTACGAGGGCCAGAAGTTCAAGCAAGAACTGAGTGGAAAGCAAGTAAGACTGTTTGTTAGGTGGTCGTGGAGTTTAGTCCATCTTTCTTATCCTTGATGTTTTATACTTAGCAAAGAGCTCTCTTATACAATGCAGGTGAGAAACTTGTTATCATCCTTTCGTCCTCTTGGTACTTCATCTCAACGTCTGCCCCGAACTCTGCCCAATGTGTCATTATCAAGGGCAAGACCTCCCTCAACAATGGAGGAACGACAACTAGATGGGGTGCAACATTATAATGGTCCATCAGTAATGGAGCACCAACCTGTTCAGTTAGTGCATATTCCGCAGCATGGATATCATGGAATACCAGCATATATGGGACATGCTCATCCAGCTACAGAGCATCGAAGAATGCCTATTAATAATTTGTATTATGTTGCCGAATCTCGACAACCACACTTCAGTGAAGGACATGCATATGCCGTGCAGGAACCCCATTCCAGGTTTTATGTTTTTCCTTACTTTTGGTTTGCCTTTTATGGGCTGCGGGAGGGGTCAGTGGAAGCTTTTGCGTTTCTAATGAACTATTTGAGGAAAGAAAACATTTGGCGATACTATTTCATTTCAGCTAGGTATAACTATTTTGTTTGAATAATCCAGTGTCTCCTGTTCCTTAATTGTTATAATTTATGTCTTCAATTCCTGAATTTATGTAAGGGTTATTCCATTTGTACATAATGGATTACCCCCTCTCACATAGTACGTGGGGCTCGCGTGTATTTAAAAATTCCCACAATGTGGTCCCCATCCCCATTGTGAGTAGTAGGTAAAAGATTTTGTAAAAAAATTCGGTACATGTAGCATGATCCTTTATGTAATTAGGTGAGAACTGTTAATGCATGTGCTTACAATTATTGAAATATTTTGAAATCTGAATGAATTAATTTGCAAATTGCATTGCTCGTTAACAATGAAGGTGTGTGGAAGGGATGTGTCACTACCTTCAATCAATTATGAATGCGGTGTGTATTCATGCTTACACATTGGTTTACATTTCACTTACATTCTTTGCCAAACTTTTTCAACTATTGCTGTCTTTTTCCCCTCTCCTTGCATCTCTATTTCTCTCTCTTCCTTTCTGGATTCTCTGTTTCAACCTCATGCTTTCTTGGGAACTGCTGTGTGGCTTAGCGTGGTATTTCTTATTTAGGATGATTAGAAGAGGATATTGCATAGTAGTTTTTTCATAGTTTATTACTAAAACTCTGTTTGGTAAGGATTAAAATTTAGATTTTAATTTAAGTCAAAGTCAATAATTAATTTTAACCACATATTTTATAGGACTCACAACTTTCCAATCATACATTTCATCAACTTTTATCAAAATCTATTAAAAATCTGATTTTAACCCCCACCAAATAGGGGCTAATTATCTTTGCAGCAGTAGAAGTTCAGTTACTATGCCATCATATTATAGTTTAGTCTTCCTACAGAGCTTTAAATGTGCCTAGTAATGTTTGGCATATCCGTTGTGTAGTTGAGTTTACTGAAATATGTCTGTAGGGTACTCTTGCCTGAAATTTCTTTCATCCAACAAAATGCGTAAAAAAACTAATAGAAGGGGGAAAACAGATTTTTCGGTAAAATAGACAAGTCCGGTTCTAATAAACAAGCCTTAGACAGGAATAAATAATGTACTATCATGTTTCCACTTTCTCTGTGTGTAATTTTTCTAGTGAATATGTTCTTGCTGAATTTTGTTGGTTCTACCATTTGCATACTTTAGCCTCGTATCTTCCTCTCTCTTCTTGTCTTTTCTTCAATCAAGAAACTGAACTATGCTTTGCTGCTTTTGAATTGCTTTTCTGACAGATATGGGACAGTGCAAGAGAGGGGTGTACATGATCAACTCCCTGGCTTGAGAAGTGAATATCGTAGATTACCTGTACAGAGAGAAGTCCTGCCTCAAGATGAAGCGGTTGCATATGGCTCCTTCAGCTCATATGCCTCGTCTGCTGTGCAACCACAATCCAATGCAGCTGGATACAGCTCCTACCCAGCACCTATAGTCCCATATGCTGCATCAGCTGTGCAACCACAAGCCCCAGAATCCGTAAGATTACCTGTACAGAGAGAAGTCCTGCATCAAGCTGAAGTGGTTGCATATGGCTCCTATGGCTCATATGCTTCGTCTGCTGTGCAACCACAACCCTATGCAGCCGGATACAGCTCCTACCCAGCACCTACAGTCCCATATGCTGCATCAGTTGTACAACTGCAAGCCCCAGAATCTGTAAGATCTCAAGGAAGTGTTCCTGTCTCTTCCCATTATATGTTTGCGGGCCCTACTGGGATATATCGTTGATACTGGCGTGACCTTATTTTCTAGAATAAACAAGGATTTTTTTGTGACTTGAAAATTCTGGTTATTATGAGTAATTCTGCTAGTAACTTCGATGATGGACAACCACCTTAGCTGACTGCCTTGAGGTCGGTACAGACTAGAGAATTGTTTTGGGTATGTTGGTCTGATAAACATAGTGATTTACCTGTAAATTGTTCATGCTTGATGTCCAATTACTTCATCTTCTGTCTTACAACGTGCATTATCCTTTTAAATTCGTGTTGTGTTTGCATCCAGCTTGCTCTGGGAGTTCGCTCCTCATGGTGCCAAAGGTTAGCCCAAGTACCGTATTTTTCCTATATTGTGGATGGGTCGAGTCAAATGTGTGCAAGTGTCAATACGAGTTAGTGTGCATACTGCAATGGAGATTTGTAATTCAAAGAGCTACACTACTAGAAATGATTTGGGAGAATTCAATACCTGTCCAGGCATATGAATCAATTTTCCCATCAAATCAAAGGCTTCACATGCTAAGACAAAAAGCTGCTTTGGTTGTGCAAATTTGATGGCTAAAATGGGATGTGCAATGAAAAAAGTCCCTTTTACCGTTTTTGTTATAGTATGTGAATTATTTACACACATTTTAAAGGGCAAAATTGGCAATGCACAATCACAAGGATTAACGGCTATAGTAAATTGTCTGAATCATGTCAGCTATAATGGAATAAAGAAATGATATTGATCAGCATAATGGTCAATTTTTTGCTTATAATTTGAAAAAAATTCGCTCCAAGACTGGCGTAGAGAAATTTCTCTTTTAAAGGGAACTTTTTTCCTGTCGACCCTTTATCCATACTATTGAGACGTGCTCTCATAAAATTCAGAAAAATACTTCAAATTCCATGTTATGATACTATTTCTACTGAAAAAGGAACTTTCCGCAATTAAAAGAATGTAACTGACATTCTTGAATGGGCTGAAAACATGGATGTCATTTACTCGCTGTATGTACGCTGATTCAAATTCAATCTTTTATCGACATCATACAATTCTGAATATATGAAAATTCATCTCCACTCAACTGCAATCTACCATTCGTGTGAAACTCTTAACTGTCGAAATTATTTTCTACATTTTCACATTTTTGTTTCTAATTAATCTGCTAATTCGAATCTGATATTATCGATTTCCGATATACCTTGCGCCGTGTAGTTATTCTTTGATTGATTATCTCCATTCCTCCCAACTGATAGTTGAGTTTTCACATTACAAATTAATGGATTTTTCATCATCTTCCACAACAGCTCTTGCATTTTTGTCACATGGAAATCATTTCAGTAGTGTTGCAGCGTATGATTTTTGACCGTAACACAATGTAGTTAATTTACGTAATATGATTGGGAATCACATAGACGACGTGTGAATTTTACATTACAATATATAAAGTTTCACTGTAACTCAATGTGCATAGTAGATTACAGTTCTGTTTTCGATGACAATTCAGGTTTTATTCCGTGTGAATTTTGTGGTGACGTATCGAATATTGCATAACTGTCATATTTAAATGTCTAATATTTGTGAATGTATGAAGAAAACGGATTTCATTAATTTGCTTGTCCCCAACACATTTCAGTCCGGTGACAAGACATAATTCATGCATTGAGAATCTGAGAAGCTTCCCATCAAGTTCGAACCACATTTCATCTTGATTTAGCTGACTGACTTCCAATAATAGCATCTTGTGTGTAACTTGATGTTGTAGTCTGATGTATGACATCTGCAAGAAGTGACCAAAGCACGATCTTTTGAAAATCACCTTTTGCGATTCGGTGAACTTCCCCTTCAAGATTGATATTACGTTGTTTTTGAAGATCACATTGATGGTGCCTCTAAATCTATTCTTGAGCTGTATGACAAATTCATATTTCCGTTACATGGAAAAACAAAGTATTCATCAGTGTTGAAATGTGTGACATAACGCAGTTAGTAAACGACATTGAAATTGTAATGAATGGTGACATTGAATATGATTCATAACATATTTAATGCCAAAAACTTGGGCACATGCCCAAATAAGTGTATTTTATACACTTATCAAATCAAACTGATGTGATCTAGGAAATGAGGACAAGTTCGGGTAAGGATTCATTGATCGTTGAGGAAGGTCTATGAATAGGCCGCGAGCGAAGCGGGTCAAAGAAGCTATGGAATTGCTTGTTCAACAACAATGGATGAAACATCGATCGCAACAAGCAAATGAATAAGTTTCATGTTGGGTTTGGAAGAAAAAAAAGATGGATCAACTTGGTTCAAGTAACAGTTGAGGAAGCTGCTCGGTATAACTATGTGACCGCATAGTTATATGGGAGGTGCCACCATATAGTCCCTTACCGAAACTTAGTTGAAGGTTCAAGATACAACTATCGCATACCATTAGCCTATGCCGCCGCATAGTTCAAACAGGGATATCTTTTGTTCAAATTTCACACAGTCTTCTAATTTAGTTAAAACTCTATTTTGTGATATCTTTTTTTATTTTTAGAGTTTAATTCCATTTTTAAGTAGGTTTTTATGTGTTCCATATAAGTAGGACTCATTCCATACATTGTAATACAGACATTTATTGAGAGATCAATTGCAAGACATTATTGCATTTTTGAGTCTTGTAATCATGGGGTCAACATATTGTCGACGATTGTGTTGGTTCTTTGATTCAATATTTTTTAAAATCAAATTTAAACATTGATTCTTGGCTTCTTGGGATTGAATCAATCTTGTATGGGTTTCGTAGTTTCAATTGCTACTTGGGTTCGTATAAGTTGGTATAAGAGCAAGACTCCAAAAATCAAGGTTATATTATTTTCTTTCTTTTGTTTGAGTCTTTGTTTTTATTCTACGTGTTCTTTGCGTTCTTCAATTTTTTCATCCCCAATCCATAAAATTTCAAAACTTGTTTGTGTACTAATTTAGCATCCAAATTAGTTTTTGTTTCTTTTGCTGGTATCTAAGTTGAATTTCCAAGCAAAAAAAAAAAATCGGAAACTTGCCAGCAGCATACAATTTTTTTTTTTGAGTAAAAAAAAAAAAAAATTCAAATTCAAAAGTGACCAATTCAAATTCAAGGAACACCTTCTTAATTTTTTTCTTAGTATTTAATTCAAAGTGCCAATTTCTACTCTTGTGTCATTCTAGAGTCAATTTTTCTTACTCAAATCTTTGTTTGAAACTCTACTAGGATTAAATTTTGATTGAAATCGAATTAATTCTTTGAAACACTTACAAGAAAGCATTGAGTGGAAAAAATGCAGAGTGGTGTGACTAATAGAGGGAAAAAATCAAATTGAGTGATACATAAGTGTACACACGTGAGACAAATATTAAACTAGATTTAGGGTGTCTGATATGGACGATTCTTCTTCAAGCAGGAAGAATAGTCAGTCATTATGATGAAGTAGGTGATACGATGATTTGAAAGGTTGTTTGGTGATATGGGAGATAGAATGGACATGCAAGAGGCATGGATGGAGAGACAAGACACATTGCTTGCTAATTTGTATGGGGAACAACCTTGAGAAGTTCCTAACACAAGGATGCAAAGTAGGCGGGATCATAGAACGGATTTTGTTGGTGAATGTGAAACGGATAGTGAAATTAATGAGGATGCATTGGTGGATGTCGAATTAGGAAGAATGAGGGATCGAGGTATGAAATGAGGGGTAGAGATCCTGTTGGAGATGGTGTTGATAGAAGTATGAGAAATATTAAAATGACAATTCCTTCATTGAAAGGAAGGAGTGGTCTGGAGGCATACTTGGACCGGGAAAAGAAAGTAGAATTGATATTTGATTGCCACAACTATTCGGAGGAAAAGAAGGTAAAGATTACGGTACTTGAATTTACCGATTATGCTATCATTTGGTGGCTTCAAGTAGTAACATCTAGGAGGAGAAACCATGAGAGGCCTATTAATACATGGGAAGAACTGAAGGCTATCATGCGGAAGAGGATTGTGCCTAATCATTATTGTAGGGAGTTTCATAAAAAATTATAAAGCCTCTACCAAAGTTCTATGAGTGTGGAGGATTATCACAAGGAGATGGAGATTGCTATGATTAGAGCGAATGTTGAGGAGGATAGGGAGGCCACCATGGCTCGATTTATGAATGGTTTGAATAGGGAGATAGTTGATGTTGTAGAGTTGCAACATAATAGCTATGAACGTGGAAAGACAATTGAAGAGGAAGGGGACAGCTAGATATTCATTGGGTTCTAACTCTTCTTGAAAATCGAAGTAGGATGATAATAGAGGTGATGGAACTGTTTCGAGTAGTAAAAACGAACCACCAAGGGGAAAGGAGAAAACCGTTAGCAAAATTACACCAAAATGGACTCCTAACCTTCTAAGATTCGGGATATCAAATGCTTTAGGTGTTTGGGATCAGGGCACATTGCTTCTCAATGTCCAAACAAAAGGGCAATGATTTTGTGTGACAATGGTGAAGTGGTGAGTGATAGTGATGGTGATGATATGCCTGCGTTGGAAGATGGTGATGATGGAGATGGAATAGAGTACCCGCTAGGAGATGAGTTGCTTGTGGTGATGCATCCTCTCAATATACAAATTAAATTGGATGATGTGGAGCAGCAACGAGAGAACATCTTTCATATTAGATGTCATGTCAAAAATAAGGTATGTAGTGTTGACCTATGATTCAATATTACTCCACTTGTTTTGATTATAACAA